TCGACCCGGGGTGGGGGGGAGGATGGTTGGGACCCCTTGGCAAGGAGGCAGGGGCCCAATGAGGGGACCTCGGGGAAGGGCTGGTGCCTGCCCTCAGGCAGGCTGCTCCTGGGCCTGGCAATCACACTGGCTCTGCAGGAGGATGCACCCATTGCCTGTCCGTCACCACCTAGAAGCCATCCAGTCTTTAAATGTCTCCACAGTGGCTTGTGCTTCACCCAGGTATAATTAGAACACTTGGCTCTAAGCTTGAAAACTGAGCTCATCTTGCAGCTTGGGGGTTGTAGGACCTCCATCTTGGCTCGTGCTCACCATGATTGCTGCACCTTCTGTGGCCCCTGGTGCTCACCGTGTCTGTGTGAACGGCGTGATCCACCCCTGCTGCTTCTCAGTCAGATCCACAAGGCACGCCGTGTCCACTCTCCCTTAGATCTCGGGGATTCTGCTTGTCCAAACCCGACTCCTCCTCCTGGCATCTGTTTGGTTCTGCTTTCTTAAGTCCACGTCAGTGTAAGGAGACATGCTGTATGGTAGGATTCCACCGCTCCGTGTGTTACGAGAACATGTTTAGAAAAGAGTTTCTTAAGGAAAATACACTATTTCCTTTTATAGGAAATCCTGAAAATAAATTAAGAGTTAGACAGCTTACATATTACACACTTCTGTTAACAAACATTAAACATTTTCATTGTTCTTCTATTAAAGATTAATCCCCAAATAAGAAGCCATCTGGGGAAGTTAATAGATTCGACATTCATTCAAGTTAAGGATTGCTATTCAGTAAAAGGTCCCCACCAAAAGTGCCCACTGGTAGGTGGGAGAATATATCTAAAAATATCCAGAATAAAGTGATCTCTCTAAAGTCTACAAGGAGCTCGACAAATCAACAGGAAACACTTAATGAAAAGATCAAAGAAGTTAAATTGGCAGGTCCCAGAGTGAGTGGTTTCCCACAGATGCAGGGATTCTTGGCTTAGAGGATGCATGAAAAGGCACGTGAAGCTAATGACCTCCTGTCCAGGGGAAGGACAGGCTGACTAAAATAAGGCACGTAACGAGGGGGTGCTGTGTGCGAGGGAGGGGGGCTCCTGGATGCTGGCAGGTGGGGGAGGGCACGGCCACCCAGGCATGTGGAGGAGTTCCACGGTGGCTAAGTGGAAGTCCCAGAACCTCGCCCTGGTCCTGTACCTGACTTGAGAGGAACCTTAGAGCGTGGAGGAGACTGGCATGGCTGGTCTTACCTATGCAGTGTGAGCAAAAATACAACAGAAACATGGCTCGTGCCCAACAGTATTCCAGCTCATACCATCAAGACACTGCCACACTGTTGGCAGCTTGGAGGCGGCTGGGGGATCTCCCCAGGGACAGATACCTGAGGACCACGCCTGCCAGGGGAGGAGGTGCCCTGTGAGTCTCACACAGGACATGCTGGAAGAGGTGAAACTGGGCCCAGTGAGAGTCCAGTGGTCAGCAGGGTTGTGGAGGAGGAGAACAAGGCCACAGAGGCCTAGGGCAGAGAGGCTCTCTTGGTGCTGCAGGGGACATGAGTCAGCAAACATGTGCCCACACCCAGGGCGTCTCCAGCACCACGTGGCCCCCCGTCGGCTGTGGGCCCTGGGGGAGGGGGTCTCACAAGCCCACCAGCTCCAACAAACACTCGGCTCTAAGGGGTGCTGCTTTGGAGGCTGGGCTCAGCTGGGGGACAGGGTATTTTTAAGAACCTTTGGTTCATGCCTCACAGCGAGCTGAGGAGCCTCTGCCGTCCCCTCCCTTCTGCAGTTCCCCTTCAGAGCCTCGCCCGGCACTACCGGTCCTGTGGCCGCCTGCCGCAGGGCCCCTCCCTCTGTCCTCCCTCTCCTTGGTGGGCTCCTCTCAAGTCAGCCTGCAGTGTCCCTAGGCCACCATGCCTGTTCTCAACTGTCTGCTCTGAGTGCAGAAGGATGGTGTCAATGTCACACGGGGGAGGGGGAGGGCGCAGCCAGCCCTGGGCCTCCGCTCTCACATCCCAGGACTCGCCATTCTGTTTCCTGGCAGGCTCCTGGCTGCATCTGTGCCACCCAGAAGACTTTCTCCCTGCCTCACGTTGCTGTCACCCATGTGCTATCCTGGCTCTGACACTCACCAGAAGCTTCCTAAGGGAGGTGTACCATCTGGGAGCCACAGTTCCTTTCACAGTGGTGGATACAGTGGTGACCTTGACCCCAGACTGTGGACTGGAGAGGTCAATGGTAACAGCAAAGCCACAGGAGTTGTCAGCCAGACATTGCCTTGAACATGAGTGTGCAGCCCAGAAAGGAGAACAGGAGGTGAGTGTGGCGTGCGGCTGCTCTGGACTTCCAGCCTTGCCACGTGCAAACACAGTGCTGGAGCAGGCGTGGCCTGTCGGCACTCCAGGACACCTGCTGGCACTGAGCAAGCAGTTGTTGGCACCACGTGTCACGGCCGCTTGAGGTCCTCTGAGCAAAGCAAGTCTCATCTGCCGGCTGCGTCCCAGTGCCATGCAGAAGCCAGGTAGTGGCACTCACTGGATGTTTGCAGGACTGTCACTTCTGCTTCATTTCAAGACCTATGCCTCATAAACTACCGGCCTTGCAGAGCTGCTTCAAGGGGTGCTGTTTCCTCTGCAATGCCACCCAGCATCAGGAACCAGGTATCTAGGACATAAGCAGCCAGGATTGTCCCTCTCACTCCAAGGGCCATGAGCCTGTACCCTCCCTGAGAACTGGAGACCAAGCCTGTCCACAAGTCAATGGCTTGATCTCTGCCACTGCAGTGTGTGGAGACACTGTCACCATGTGATAGCTCTAAGGTATTTGCCACACAATTGCGATTGGCACAGCCTCAGTGCCCACAGGCCGCATTAGCGCCTTGTTCAGCACAACACAACACACAGATGCACCTCTTTGCACAAATAGCTTTTACTTCATTTATCTAAAGAGGTTTAAAATCCTTCTTCTCACTGAGCAAGACTATTAGAGTTATGTGAACTGTTCTCCTGGATCTCGTTCACCCGACTTCTGCTAGATGATTCATCACCTCAGTCTGAAAAGCCTGTATGTTCTTTGTCATTACATCTAGTTTCAAAGGCTGCAAAGAAAACCACTCTGATTTATTATCCAAATCCTAAAACTTGGCAAGGAAAACACTGAGGCTCAGGGAAGTTCAAATTGAATAATATTTTTGCAGAAGAAAATGCAGGAGAGAGACAGAGACAGCAGTTGGGGTACTGAGCACATCTCCGCCCTTCAGCAACGTTCCTGTCCCCTCTGAGTAAAGAGAGATCCATGAGGGAAACTGTCTGGACCGACTGCCACCAATCAGCAGTGGCTCTGGGGTCCTCCAGTGCCCACTGAGCGGTGAGGTCTGGGTCTGCAAGTGCTCACTTCCCGTTCACAGGAGGATTGACAGTTGGAGACAGGGCTGGGGGCTGAGGAGGGGATGTGGACCCCGACTTGGAGGGGAGCTGGGTGGTGACAGGATGGTGGTCACTCAGAGCAGGGTGAAGACTGGACCAGGAGAACACTTACCTCATGGTGCAGTAACTGTGTGGCCAACCCCAGCGTGTGCGTCAGCATCGACCCATCTCCAGACACCAGGCAGTGCCGCGCCTTGTCACGGAGCCCTCTCCTCCTGGGCATGGCCAGCCTGGGTCCACACGTCCCGCTGAGCTGGGCTGGGGATCTGTGGGTGGCGCAGGCTGGGGCCAAGGGCTCTGGGCCTAGCAAACCCAGAGCCTCGTTTTCAGGGACCCCAGATATGACCTCATGACCTACCATCCAGCTCTGGAATTAAGGTCCAAGCGTGCGGTGACCTGAGAGCTCAGAGGGCTCTGGGCCACAGAGGTCACTTCCTGTCACACACAGGAAAAGCTGCTGCTCCCAAGGACGGGCGAGTCTTCTGAAGGGCCACTCGCGGAACTGTTCCGAAATGTAGGAGTTTGTCACAGTTCTGCCTTGCTGTGACTCACTGTCCTTGCTCCTTCTCCCTGGGAAAATATTGGGACCGCCCCTTCCTCACAGGCAGCCTGTCCTGAGGACCTGCCTGTGAGCTGGGCCCACCTCAGCCACCTGAGGCTCTGCATCCCAGTGCGCTGGGGCCCACCTGATGGGGCTTCGCAGCCCATCTGCAGAGGCCAGTGCTGCTCTTCCGCTGGGGGTGCACATGCAGCTGGTCTCCTCTGCTCCCCACTGAGCCTGTTTCTCAGTCTGTTCTGAAGAGCTGGGGTGCACAGGGGCAGGGAGGCACCTTGGCTCCAGCCCCAGGCCCTCTGGGATTCCAGTGGGATGAGGAGGTGCTCCTGGGGGGAAGGGGACAGGGGAGCCTGTGACACTCCCTGGTCCCTCCAGGTCTGGCATCTTGCAGAGCTCGCCACTGGGGAGATCCGGCCACCTTCAGCATCAGCCGGTTCGTCCAGCCAGCGCAGGCCTGCCCAGGGCATGCCCCTCAGACACCCTACCTCTGCCCCAACACTCACCAACCAAGGTGCTCCATGCCTAAAACCCCCGAGCCAGGGACCAGGCAACCAGAGACACCCATGGCTCACCCCACTGAAAGTAGCCAATCCTGAGCTGATTGCTCTGCCCGGCTGTTTCTCCCAGAAGCACAGGTAAGGGCCCAGCCTGGCTTTGTCCTCTCCCCTGTCCTGACCACCTGGCGTTTCTCCCCTTGACCCTGCCTGGATGAAGTGACCCTCCATGAGACCTCGGCAGGTGATAAACTTCTTCCTCCCAAGCCTCAACTGGTTTCCCCCTGTAACCAGCTGACCCCACCACACAACAGGCCGCGGACAGGTCCTCAGATCAGTGGGCGTCTCTGGAAGGAGAGGAAGGGGGTCAAAGGAGCAGGACCCCGTGAGGACCTGTGAGGGGCAACTTGGCCTCGGGCATTCTGAGCTGGACAGCTTGCTTCACAGATGGGGGATGCCAGCCCTGGGGGACGCCCAGCCTGGCGTCCTGCTGCCGAGCGGGGGAAAAGCAAGCACACACAGACTTGTGGGGCACTGGCGTTCCACATAGTTTATTTCACCTCTGCATAGATCGACACACATAAAGGGTTTTACAGCATTGATGCTCAAGCGCTGATAAACACATTAACAGACACAGTAACAGCTGCTCTGAACTTGCCTTACACGGGCACAGCTAGCTGGCCATTAGTAAAGGGCAGCATGTAAGTACTGGTTAGTGGGACTAGGTAGGCTCTGCCAAGCATCGGGGTATTCAACTCACAGTACAGCTGTGGGCTTTCACTCAATCCGAATCCATGCACCAGCCACCCGGAGCACCTGCCACCCTGGCCCCCGTGCAGGGCCCGTGGCTCCCCGGTCTGGTGGTCTTTGTGGCCGTGAAGCAAGCACAAATGTCGTGGCTGCTGGAAGGAACCCTGACACAGCTCCGACCTCTTGTTCCACTTGGAGCCCCTGACACCGCCTCCTCGCGGATAATGACACTGCAGAAGAAGGGGGTTAAAACAGTGACACCGAACCGCAAAGGAAAGCCCCCGTCAGCCAGGGAGGCATTGACTGAGCACAAACAAGCACCCTGCCAAGAGGTGACAAGCAACTGTGCGCCGACTGTCCCAGCTTCAGCAAAGAGCCCAGAGCTGCGGACATCAACAGCAACAGCAATAGGAAGTTTCCTAAGAGACCCAGAGAGTTCACAGCTGCCAGCAGAATCACTGAAGGCCCAGAATTAACCAAAGTGGAGCAGATGGCTCATTTCTTGCCTAAGTATTTGCAGCAAGACCAATACAGGTCAGAGTTTTAACTGAGGGCAACTCAATCCGCACAGCGTTTTCTTAAGAGGAAAAGAAACAGGAGTCACCACAGCCTCAAAAATCAAATCACCATGACCCAGATCCAGAGATCTGTCAAGAGTTAGAGTTGGGGTGTTCCCACCCCAGAACACAAAACAGAAGGAAGACAGGGCTGCGCTGAGACGTGCCCTCGACGGACAACCCAGAGTCAATGCCTGCCAGCTACCCAGAGGACAGAGCCCTCGCGTGCACACTTCCTGAGAGCAGCACTGTCCTCCCAGAAGGAGAGGCCAGTGTGCGAAGGCTGACCTTAGGAGAACATGGCTGTCCTAAACCTAGAAACCTCTTTCCACGCCCCAGTGATCAGCAATTGTTCACACCAACTACCTTCCTCAACTGTGTGGGACGAAGACTTAGACACCTGACGAAGGCAACAGGAACCTCCTCAGGCCTCAGGCCTCGGGGGCAAGTCTCAGCAATGTCAAAGGGCGTGGCTTTCGGGTCTTTGATGGGTGCTACCCTTGCTGCACACCGCAGGGCCCGGCCCCACAAAGGCAAGCAGCCTGGTGCTCTCCAGGTGTCAGGGCCTCTGGCCTTTGTTCTCACGTGATGGTCCCACATGGGTTGGCCAGGATCCCTTAACTACTAAGGAAGCAGTTGTTACTTCCACCTCGGGGACCTGCCACCAGTTCCCACAGGCACTCTGCCACTAAGCCAAACATGAACAGCTCGCTTCCCGGGCACCGGGGGATGCCACTCGACACCCAGCACTCCTACCCTCTCTCTGGAGCGCCGTCACTCTGGAGATCCAACTCAAGAGTGGACGTCCCAGGAGTGACTTGTCAAGCAGAATCACAATGCTGGTGTTTTATGAATTTGATATTTAAGGGATGAAAGTATTAGCCTGTACCCTTTTCATATTAAAACTTTTAGCATTAGTAATAACATTCTAGAGAGTATGTACTACCATATAAAATGTACATTTTTTCAAAAAACATTACCTGTTCCTTTTTGCTGTTAAGTATTTCTCGAGTATATTCCTATAAAAGGCCAATAAAATCAGGCTATAGTAAGTCTCTCTTTCTTTCCCAAAATGATGGGCCAAGTTTCCAAGACATCATCTTGGTTCATGCACACTCAGAAGCAAGCATGCACACCACCAGAACACACTCCAACTGCCACTGTGAATCCCACTCCCCTCATGCATGAGATTCATGCTGACCATTTCTAAACACACTTAACCAAGACTTTCACAACCAAAGACTCTAAAAAGCACCTCCTACATCCCACTATCCCACCACTGGTTAACAAGGAAGTCATGTCAAGGTCTGCATGGTTTCATCTAGGTATGTTCCAGAAAGTTATGCATTTGTCCTATTACAGTAAGATGAATTGGATTTGCAATCCAAACCAGTTTGCCTGTTCATGAGCGTGAATTCTACCCTTGAACTACTAATGGACAGGAAGTCCTGGCCAGCATTTCTGAAAAGTCAACTGACCTAACAAATGAGGGGGAAATCAACTGATTTTTTTTATATCTTTGTACTTTCTCAAAGTAGTGAGTCTCACTTCCATTCTATTCAGGTATTTTGGAATTCACAATGAGATAAACATCACTTGCTGAACTACATTAAACATACATGATATTTTCCCTTGTTACATTCCTTATGATATGTCACTCTGCCTTGTTTTCTTAGAATGATGTTGGTAAAAATTAATATCCCTCATCAGAATTACATGATACACATTTAAAACATTAGGTAATGGGTTTAAAATGTGCCTGTATCATTCATTTTTAGAACTGTCAAAAATGATTCTAACCCTCTTTTTTAGGAAGTGTCCCTCTTGGCTCCTTCTAGAAGGTGGCAGGAATGAGCAGACTGGCTGTCACAGGGTCCTTTCAAAACAGACAAGTACCTTCTCAGTGAACTTTCCTGATTCCATGTGCTGCCGGGTGACATTTCATCACCAAAGATCAAAAAGTCAAGTCACAGTGAATCGTCACCACGCCACCAAGGACTCCAGGCCCCTCCACTCGATGGCCTCAGTGCTCTGGCTTGTGGGGACCCCAGTGATGTGTCCATGATTGGCAGAGGAAACACTTCCAGTGCCCCAGGGCCTAGAAATCCCATTGGTAATTAAAGGTTAAGTCACTCTACAGCTGAGCCCACCACAACTGCAGCACATAGTGACACGAGCTTTTTAACTAAATCACAGAAAGCTTTACTTATCAGCTATGGCTTTAAACCTCAGGCCCAAAACAAAAGAGAAGGGTGACTTCTCTCTTCAGCTGCACTAAGAGCTGGTGTGGCCTACTTTAGGACTCCCTCTGTGGCCTGGCCAGGAGGGAACCCTGCCCAGCGCCTCTAATCGCCTCCTCTGTGCTCAGGGCTCAGCTCTCCGAGAGGGCGGTACCTTATATTCACCTTCCTGCACCCCAGGGCGGCAGCTGCACCTGACGACCCATCTGTTGACCCGCCTCTCTTCCCCTAGGTATCCTGCATCTCATCTTAAAGCCATTTGCGCACGTCTTACATCTTATGCCATCCACCCACTAAGCAAAATGAAGCAAAAAAGAATCCAGAACTGAGAAGTGCTGAGAATGGCACCGGAAAAACGCCTCAGGGCCCCAAAGCTTCTATCCTCAAAGTGTATACATGGTGCAGTGGGCAGCAACCCACCCCACCGCTCTCTTCCTCCTCTCCTCTGCCCCCTACCCACTGGGAACTGCAGACCACGGGGCCACCCCTTTGGTCCCACAGCTGCCCAAGGGAGATGCCCAGTGATCCCGGCCTGCCCTAGGCCGCGCCCTGCTCCCCCCGGTCCGGCTTCTCAGGCAGGTTGAGCACAAACGGGAAGAGTGTGCCCCGGATGTCCAGGGGGGCTCCCAGTGGCTCTGGCTCGAAGCTGCCGCCGGCGCCCGCGTCGCCGCCGGGCTCACCATCCTGTGAGGGCACGAAGCGCCAGGTGCCCGCTCGGCTCACGCAGTAGATTGTGCCGTCCAGGGCGGCGCAGCGGAAGGGCTGCAGGCCGGCTGGGGCGCCCGGAGGCCGCAGGTGCGCGGCGCACTGGCTCCACTGCTTGGCTAGACAGTGGTAGCGGAAGACGCTGACCCCGCCGCCCGGAACGGCCGCCGCCTGAGCTTCACCTCGAGCCCCGCAGAGGTCGAAGCGGTAGATGAAGCCATTCAGGGCCACCATGTCGGCTGAGCGCTCGCGGCTGCTGCTGCACGGGCACTCCTGCCACTCGTCGCGTCGAGGGTCGTACTTGAGCAGGCGGTAGAAGAGGGAGCCCCCCGACACGTAGATCTCGCCATTGCAGGTGGTGGCCTCATGCGCCACAGCGAAGGCGCCCCGGGGCAGCGGGGCCACCGCGGTCCAGCGGTCGGCACGCGGGTCATAGCGCTCCACGCTGAGCAGGCACTCGCCGCCCACGGCGTACAGGTGGCCGTCCAGCGCCAGCAGCTGCAGCTGCGAGCGCGCCTGACGCAGCGGCCGCACGGTGCTCCAGCTGTTGGTGGCCGGGTTGTAGCAGAAGACCTGGTCGGACGGGCGCGCGCGACCATCAGGGCCCGCGGGCGCCACGCCGCCGGCCACGAAAAGGTAGTTGTAGAGCACGCACAGGCCGCAGCCGCGCGCCGGCGCGCCCTCGGGTAGCCGCGTCAGCTCGCGCCACTCGCCGACCGCCTCGTGGTAGCAGTAGACTGCCGCGTCGCCGCGCGCGTCCGCGTCCCCTGACGGGCTCTGCGGGCGGCTGCCTGAGCGCTCCCCGGCTGGCCCGAGCGCGGCGGCCAGCAGGCGGGCGCGGCCGGCGCGCAGACGGCGGCGCAGCAGCAAGTCGCGCTCGGCGCCCGAAAGGCGCCCGAACACAGCGGGCTCGCGCAGCACTTCCAGGTAGTGGTCGCTCATGAAGCGGTAGACGGCGTCGCGCAGCTCCGACAGCCGCTGCCGCTTGGCGGTGCTCAGCACTTCGTAGCAGTTCGCCAAGTTCAGCTGCGGCCCTACGGCGTCGGTGGCGCGCTGCGCGGCGCCAGGCAGCTGCAGGCGGCGCGCGCCAGCCACCACTTCAGCCACGTTGTCGGGCCGCACGCCCGCCATGCGTCCGCTGTACGCGTCGGCCAGCAGCAGCTGCAGCGCCGCGAAGCTCACGCCCTGCACCCGCAGCACGTCCCGCGACGCGCGCGCGCGGAAGTAGTCGCTGCGCGCCGCCAGCACCGTCTTGTGCGCCCGCAGCCGCCGGCCGGACACCTCGATAACCAGGTCGGGCTCTCCGTGCGCGGTCCCGACCCCGGGGGGCACAGGCGCGGGCTCTCCGAGCTCTTCCTGGGACTCAGACTCCACCAGGGACAGAGATTCCGCAGGGCGCGCGCGCTCCTGGCGAGACGAGGGCTCTTCCGGGGACACGGGATCCTCGGGGCGCGCGCGCTCCTCCGGGGACACGGGCTCTTCCGGGGACACTAGCTCCTCCGGCGACGCGGCGCCCGCGCTGCTGACCTCCCACTGCGTCTCCACCACGCGCTGGCCGCTGCGGTGCGAGGGCGAGGAAGCCGCCGCGCCCTCCGCGGCGGCAGCGCGAGACTGCGGCGGAGAGTCGTCCCCGGAGCTGAAGCACAGGGACGCGCGGAGACTGCAGGGTGTCTGCGTGGGGGACGCAGCGCCCTCCCCCGCGGCCGGCGGCTGCAGGCTGCCCTCTCCCGGAGCCCCAGGCTCCGTCCCGCTGACGCTGCGGTCCCCTGGGTAAAGGACGCAGGGGGCCACAGAATTCTCCATGGCGGTCTGTGCCTTGCCGCTGCCCGAACGCTCAGTGGCCGCACATGCCTGGTCGTGGCCAGGCGTTGTTTAGGGGTCACTAGCTTCACACGCTTTTCTGGCACGCGATCAGATTTCACTATGTCCACAGTTTCCCCCTGTGCACACCGCTCCCTTCTGGCCCTTCCCTCTCCTCCCCTGCGAGGAGGGCGTGCCCAGCACTCACTGAACTTTTGAACGCTGGGGGTTCAGCGCTGGCCGGGGATATGCTCAGGTGGGGAGGAACCGGCCAGCAGCGTGGCCGGGACTGTGATGCTTTAGTCCACGCACCGGACAGACCTGAGGCTGCAGCGCTGGCTGATGTGGCTTTGTCTGTGGGACTGGTCTGTCACGTGTGTCTGACCCCCAGTATCCCCACAGGAGCACTGTATCACAACGCTGCTGCCTCAGACAGAAGGGCCCCGGACCTTAAGGACCTTGTTTTTAGTTCCACTGTAGGTACAGACCGGATCCTTCTTTTTGACTCCCATTTGTAGTTACACCCAAAGGTCAACTGGAGGGTGCGGTCTATGTCCTGGCCTCACGGCTCTGTCAAGTCCACATCCGCACCTGCCAGGTGGGTGTCAGGAAAGGTCACTGTGCACATCGGAGACCTTGCTTTCAGCTTCCCTTGTCTGTCACCGGGTGCTTCCAGATCATTCACACTCTGTTCCTGTTGACAGGAGAAAAAGGAGATTTGAATTTGCATCGTGCAGTGAGCCTGTTCTGTCACTGGGTGGGCTCTACTGCAGTCCCTCCCCAGGTTTCCGATTACAGCTTTGGTAGTGGTGCTCTGGGCATGTGACTTCTCACTGCTGGAACTTGGTGAATGGGATGTGCAGAATATTATCTAGGAATGAAGAAGAGGCATCGTGTTGGGGAACCAGCTCAAGGATGGCATTACCAGACCTGGTCTTAGGTCTAATGGGTGGAGCTGAATGAAGCGGTTGGTTCCATAGGTCAAAAGCAGCCCAGTGTGAACCATCCCACCTTTTCATCCTGCTGAATGTATGCAGAGTCACGGAGTCTTTCACTGAGAGAGCATGGCTGGGCTGTCATTTTATCAGTGTCGACAGCCTCTCTCATTCCTTTTCAGTCACCTATTCAGACTCAGTTACAACAAATACTTGTTGAAAGTGTTAGGGAACCTCTCTGAGGTCCGCCTCAGTGAGGACCCCAGGGAGTCCAGTGCCTACACCTGCTTGAACTCATCACTCTCTTTGTTTTCTCATTTTTTTTTTTAGTTGTAGATGGACACAATACCTTTATTTATTTATTTCATGTTGAGGATCCAACCCTGTGCCTCACACATGCCAGGCAAGTGCTCTACCACTGAGCCCCAGCCCCAGCCTGAACTGGTCATTCTTGGAATCTCATCTCTGAAAACCCTCAGAGGAGCGATGGCACAGACAGCTAACGGAAGCAAAGACCAGCATGGGAGGGCCTATGTGCCCTGCAGAGGAGTGTAGGATACTGTCACACAGTGTCTCCCAAAGTGGAAGAGCCTTGGGGAGTCTCCCACCTGCCCGGAGGCGGCTTGACCTAGGGCAGAGGGAAGTGGGATGATAGCTTCCCCAAGGATGTGCACAAGGAAAGCATACACAGCGAGCTGCGTCTCTTCATTATGCAGAATGCTTACTGACCTCTCAAATGGGAGAGCAACTGGCAGTCACCTTCCCTCAGCAGGTCCTGATGTTTTGCTTATCACACAGAAGGCCACTGCCAGTCCCCGTAAACCCTGGGGGAAGGGTGCACACCTGCAGGCCCGCTCCTCCTGCTAGTTGTCCCTGGAAAGGCCTTTTCCTTATTCTCAGAAATGGAAGGTCTTTCCGCTGGGAATTCATGCCGTCCCCCTCCCTCTGCCAGATAGCTTTCCCAATCACTTTCTGACACGCTGCACACACTGTTGTGGAATTCCTGGGAAATGCAGTGTTGGGGAAGTCCAGGAGTAACCTGAAGCCCTGTCCTGGTGTGTGGTCACAGGGGATGCTGAGGGACAGGCTGCTGTGTGGGTTGGGCCATGACTCAGCCCAGCACAGCCTCCCACCCACCATCCAGCAATGCTCTGTCCAGGGGGTGGAAGAGATCGCTGGCCACAGCAATAAGCATGAGGTCAAGCTGCAGACCGTGAAGATCAGGAACATGTGCGGCCCCCAACGGCTCCAGGGGGACTCCAGCTGAGTCATCCAAGGTGACACAGGTCAAAATGAGGACACAACTGCCTGTCTCGCTCAGAAGTGTATGCGAACATCAGTGTCTGACACAGAATCTGAGCTGGCTGTGCTCACTGGCTTTTTAAACACTGCTTCTGCAAATACAGAGGACCACAGACTTTGGAAAATGAATGTCATTTTTTTCTTGGAATGGAAGTGGCTCTTACTTCCACTCACCCAGAAAGGCAGAGCTCAGGTGTCTGGAAGACAGGACTGCTGGGCTCGCCACAGCTGCTTGCATGTCCTCCAACCCAGTGTCACTAAATGGCCTCCTGAACTGTGTCACTCCACTGGACCTCCCCTGTCCTGCAGCAGGGCTGGCAGTGTGAGCTGGCTCAGGCAAGGGTGGGCAGTCCCACCGTGGCCCCCACAGGCATGGCACAGCCACCCAGCCGATGGGGCCTGCCTCCACCCTCCATGAAGCTGGTGCTGGACACACCACTGTAGACACCTTGAGGCCTGTGCTGATTGTCCTGAGGGCTGAGATGCTGGCCTCTGCTGCCCCCGTACCAGGGCCAGAGCTGCACTACTGAAACCGCTTCCCCAGCATGGGGGGGGGGGGCACCTGACTGACATGATCTCCCAGAGCCTTGCAAAGAGCCAGCAGCATCCGGCATCCTGCCCCACACGAAGGAACGAAGAAGGCAGAGGCTGTTAAGACAAAAAGTCCTCCTTCTTTTTTGGGGGGTGACCCAATGCTGGGATTTTCCCTTGAGGTAGATGGGCAGAGTCAGCTCACTGACCAGCCCTGGGAGGAGGTGATGAGCTCCACAGGCTTCTCCCAGGGAAGGTGGCCTGAGCTTTCTGACCTGCACACTGCTCTTCCTGCTTGGCCACGCACAGGAAGCAGGCTAGTCCTGCAATTCTATGCTGTGCTTCATCCTTGAAATTCACCATGTTTCTTATTTAACTTAAGGGGCAATGTAAGATTTCAAGCCTGCACAATAGAGATGTTTAAAAAAAAAAAAGTTCTCTGAGACCTCAGCAGCAACCCTGCTAAGACCCTTAGCATCAAATCTCTCTGGACTAGAGGCTGGGACCCCCCCCCCCAACACACACACACACACACACACACACACACAGGCTGGCTCTGAATCAGTCCCTCCGGGAGGCTTCTGTGCACAGGACAGATACCCCAGCTGCTCCTGTGGAGGGTGGAACTGCAGGAAAGTCCCCCAGCATCACTCCTGGAGTGTGTCACAGCCCTGGGGCCAGACTCACACGGGCTCTGGCTGAGAGGGCTTCCAGGGATGGGGATGAGGAGCCAAAGTATCCTTCTGCATTGAAAGTAGGAGGTCGTACAAGTTTCAACTAGATATGATTTACATAGCATTCTCCCCTGGAGAACATGACTTTTTTCTGGACCTTATACATGCCTGAACAAAAATATTTTGAAGTTTCCTCACTATTCATAGGAATTAAAAATACAAAATTACTTCCCTATGTGCACATTTAATGTGGATGTTAGCTTATTCAAAATTAAATATAAAATTTCATTATGCCAGTTGCTATGAAGAAGCTTCCTTTCAGTCACAGGGAATTAATTCTTTGGTTGTTAAGGGACATAGGAAGCTCATGTGAACTTCTGTGGCATGGGCTGCTGACATCTTCCACACTGTGCCCGCCTCTGCCACCCTAGGCTCCTGGGGAATACCACCTTGTCACGCCCACCGCATGCCTTCCCCAACACCAGAATTTACCTAGTTAAGAGCCAGCAAATTGAAAGGTTAATTAAGAAAGAAAATACAAGAAGTGAAGAAAACCTAGTCTCAGAGGCTCACCAGGGACTCGGGATCTCAGTACAGAATGTGCTCATCTGCCTGCAGCTGTTCATGCAATTATTGTTCTTCAAGGTCATGGCCTCCTTAGGCCAAATTAAATGGGGGCAGAGTCTCTGGCACACATGACCACGGTGGGAGGGGGCCTGCCCACAGTGCTGAGGGAGACCCAAGTGAGTCCTCATTCCCGCCCAGTTCCCACCTGCTCAGGCCGCAGCACAGTTTGGGAGGACCTTGAAACGTGCACTGGCTGCACATTCCAGAGCTGCCAGGGAGCACTCCCCACGGAGCCCGTTTTCACTGAGGAGTGCACACCACTTGCTCTAAAAGTAAGACAGCCTGCTGACTCTGAGGACCTGAGACCTGACCCACTGCCCTGAGGGTCTGGGGGACATCCAATAGCCCAGCCGTGAGGATCCACCCAGGAAAGAAAACCCAGCCCCACCCTGGGCAGGTTTCTCTGTGCAGCACAGAAACGGCACCACCACAGGTCAGCAGTAAGTCCCTTACATCAGGTGGCAGGGGTTGGGTCTCTTCCACCAGAGTGGACTGACATCCTGTAAGTTGTTTTTATGAAGGACACTTTAAGACTGCATGGACAGTGATATTCCTGACCGTGCATGGGCACTAACAAGTAACTGATGCTCCCCCGGCCTGGCACAGGTCTCCTGAGTCACACAGAGTCACGTCCTAACCCTCCCAACACGCTACCCAGCAGCGGCTTGCCAGCCCCCATGCAGAGGGGAATGACTCAGGTGATGCCTGCTGCATCAGTGCCTGAGTCCTGTGGCATGCCTCCAGCGTGTCTCCGTAGGGTTTCTGGGGTGACGGGGTCAAGTCTGGTGGGACTTCACTGGGGGGAGTACATTACTGAGAATTCCCTGAAGAAAAGCTTCAGTGTAGACGGTGCTCTTAAAGCCCCCCTGCTCAGGCTGGAAGGTGAGGTACAGGGCACCTGCTCCTCTCACTTGCCAGTCTCACCTGCTGCAGGCGCTCAGGGTGGGGACCACATGGTGGCAGGCTGTGCATGGGGTGTTGGTGTTTGCAGTGAGAGCCTTCTGCCTGGTGACTCTCCCGCAGCCAGGAGAATGTGGTTCTCTGAGCCCACGCTCCTCACTGCCTGCATTAGTCACTGCAGCCTACCAGTGCTGGCGGGGTGGTCCTTGGCATGAGAGAGGGAGATCACACCAGGAGGGCTGCAGTAAGGCTCTGAGAGGCATCGAGGAGGGGAGGGGAGAGTGAAGAGCAGGGAGAGAAAACCCAGCTCAGAGGGCAGCCAGACAGGCATGAAGAGGGTTCTTAGGCACCGCATGCGTAGAGACGGCTTCTGACATACATCTCACCAAAAGTGGTTCCAAGGTGGGAGTCTCTGGTTGCAGGGTCAAGGCAGGCGCCATCATCTACGTCACTATGCTGAGTTTTGGTGTCTTCTAAAGCAAATACACACTGCTGTCATGCTCATAAATGTATGTTTTAGGGCACAGACTGTCTTTAAAAAGAGGGATGCTGGCCAACGAGACTGCTATGTTGTGGGCACGTATGGACACGTAACAACAGATCCCATCGTGCCTACAACCACACTGCACCAATGAAAGATGGGGGAGTTAAAGTGCATGACGGATTGAAAACCTGGCGATAGGAAGGAGGACTGGGACAGGGGCTTTCTCTTGCTTCTGTTCTCTAGCACGAACCTGTGAGAGTCCTAGGTCCTGCTCCTGAGGCACACGCCATCGCCAGCCTGAGAACCGTCATGGCTCCCACCTTTGGCTGACAAAGTGTGTCCCTCCCCGGGTGAGTCCTACCTTCATCTCACCTGTCCTGTGTGCACCTGTGGAAGGCACTGGCGACAGGTCAGCTGACACTCCTTTTCAACTGGGCAGTCGCTGTTCTCTCTAGGGCAGGTGTCACTTCCCCTGCAGGTGCTGAGGTGGGGACTTCCCCAGGTCCTCCTTCAGTGCAAGCTGAGGGCTCACCTGGTGTGGAGAACAGACCAAGAACTCAGGTGTCTGGGAAAACACGCTGCTCACAGCATCTCTGAGAACAAAGGCATTAAAGTGAGACGCTCCTCAACTCAAGCACCCGCCGTGAGTGTCCCTCCTCTGGAACATCTGGCCTCCTCGAGTGTGATGAGGACTGAGTAAGCCAACAGCCACAGACCTCCAGAAGTCTCTGTGTGTCTAGTGTCCCCTGGGCATCGCGTAGCCAGGTTCCAAGGTCCCTCAGCCTACAGCTGAGACCTGAGGCAATTACCACGACCAGTGGTTACCTGACTCCAATGCGGAAACGGAAGCTCCCAGTTCTGCTCCCTTAGGGAAAAGCCCCATCCTAGTAAATATCCCCAGGGGCCCAGCCAGTCCCAGTAGCCTGTGCACAGACACAGTGGTGGACATGCACTCCGGGCCAGAGCCAGTGGGGAGGGCATGGGCCTGGGGCCAGACTCCCAGGAAAGCCCGTCACCAGCAGAAGAGAAGAAACTCAACAGAGCACAGCATCTGAGAGAGGAGCCGGAATGGGTCCTGCCCAAAGGCAGCTCCACGCCGCTTCTGGGTCTGAGCTGGTGGCTCCATTGCTGGCTGCAGTGAGCGTGAGAGGATCCCCATCCCTGGAAACCTGAGTGATTCTGAGCTCAAAACCCTCCTCAGGCTGGGGCCTGGCACTTGCCACAGTGGCAGGACGCTTGCTGAGCATGTGTGAGGTAAGGCTCCATCCTTAGCACCACATAAAAATAAACAAAGGCATTCTGTCCATCTACAACTACCAAAAAACAAAAATTAAATCCCTCCCTTGCCCAGTGTTTAGGATTGAACGGGGTGTTCATAAGGAGCCCCATACAGAGTGGCTTCTGCCCCGTGAACCTTCACAAGCACAAAGAAGCGTCCCCACCAAGAACCACAAATCCCCAAATCACAAAGGCTCCCTCTGGCAGGGTGAGAGCCCGCACTGGACTCTGCCGGCACTCACAGCAGTGGCCCACCCAGCCCCACAACCACACACACAGCACAGGAGGAAGAGTCACTGCCGATTCAACAGATGAGAAAATGCTCAAGGATCACTATTAAGTACCTGTCCCTAAAAGACCCAAGCACGATTAGCAAGGGAACAGGAACAGAGCTTATACTGGCCCCTTGTTCCTCCTCTGGCATGTGCAGCGGGTGGCTTCAGAGACATCTGAGACTGCTGGCCCAGGTGAGCTAGCAGGGCTCCCTCCTGCAGGCCAGAAGTTAAGAAGCGTGGTCTCAGCCTTGGGGACGGGAGCTCTGACCTGGGTTCACCGGGGGATGGTGGTCTAGGGCATAGCTATTTGCAGGAATTTGAAGCATCCTAGAGATGTTAAATTTACTCCCGTCTAGTTGGACACCCAGTCATGGAAGTTGCTGGAAAGACTTGGCCATCTGCCACTTCCATCCATCAGGGATGTTTTGAGCTGGAGAGTTCTGAGATTGAGTGCTGGGCTTCCCACCTGGAAAGACAACCTTTACAGTGGGCGGCGGGACCCACCCACAGGACCCACCCTTGCAGGCAGGGGAGTGGGCACCCAGACTCCACCTACAGCAAGACTTAAGAGAACAACTCTGCCAACCTGCTTCTGCTACGGCATGGCTGAATCCCTTGAGTCAGACTGAAGTACTGAAAGAAAGACGGACGGGAATAAATCTACATGTTCATTCAAGAGTCTCCACATCAGATGAATGCAAATCGTGCTCTGGGTTTCTGCAAGTGAGATCAGGACGCAAACCAAGAGTATTGTGAAACTGGAAGCACTTGCTGTTCCTGGAGGCCCAGATTACAGAATTATCTATTCAGCTGGACGTGCAGTGTGAGTATTAAGATCACCCCCAGAATCACCGAGACCCTGGAGAAAGGTGTACCATTGTAAACCTATCAGGTTTCTGAGATCCAGTTCCGAGCAATGTCTTGGTCAGCTTGACTTCAGCGTGCTGCAGATCCCCTGCCATCAGGCTCAGGATCCTGGAGCTAGTCCAATCGTCTACTCAGATACCCACCCACTCCTCAACCCTGGAAAATGACCAGTACTCACTGCAGAGAGGTGGGGAGCACCTGCAGTTTGCAGACAGGGCTGGGTGCCTGTGCAATGGCGAGGAGTCCCAGCCCCATGGAGCTCAGCCGAATTCTAATGGATTTCAAACCATGTGAGGGCCTTGGCAGGACACAAGCAAGGGCTTGTGTCCCTGGCTCCTGCTCAGGGCCAGTGAGTCTCCTCTGGGATGTGAAACACACGGAAAACTGAGAGAAGAGCAAGGCAGACAGTGTGGAAAGAAGCCTGGGTCCACGCTGAGTCTGGCTGGGGGGACTGGGGGCTGGCTGGAGTCGTGGGGAGCAGGACTCTGTCATCTAAACATGGGAAGTCAGCCATGGCTTGGAGACATGAATCTAGGACAGTGGGGCTGGGATCCGAGGGCTCAGCCAGGTTTTACCAAGATTCCTCCGAGTCCTTTTGTACAAACACAGAGGACTGCTTGACTACTGAGTACACATCACCGCTAAACTGACTGTGAAAATGGTAAAACTGGATCTCCCTGTGTCCATCCAAGTCCATCTCAAAAACATGAATCTTAATTTCTGAAGGTTTATTTGCAGAAAGTTACCATATAATGCCATTTACATGCATTCTAAACACAGAAAATACCAGTGTCTTTTAAGGACGTGAAAACCAGGAAGGAAGGAGAGGCAGGAGTCTGGGGTAGGATACGAAGAGGAAGGGGGCAGGAAGGGTGCTTCCTGCATCCTGGGGTTTCTAAGAGTAAGAGTCACCTCTCATGACAAATGACAGCCAACTGACAGCTGTCTGGGGTCTGCCACACCTGAACAGTAAGCACTAGTTCTTTTTGACAATTGTGCTGCCCGTTTGTGAGAATACTGAATGAGGGACTCTCAAATCCTAACCAAACAGATCAAAGAGGCGGGAGAGGGCATCTTACCCCTGATCAGGACCCGTGACGTTCTAGTTGAACCCAACCCAACGGTGGGTGTGATCTTGCACGTCTCTCCTCTTAGAACCTCAGCAGCTGCGAGTTCTGACTTTCAGGGGCTGGAAGACTGATTCCATGTGGGTGAAGCTAGAGCTGCACTTGCCGTCTGGATGCTGGGGCCTGGGGCCTGGCAGAGGAGAAACGGGAGGCGCCTGGCCCAGGCCTGGTGGTCTGCCCTCCCCGGGGAGGAGGGAGGAGGCTGAAGACTGAGGGTGATCTGTCACTGTGGATACTTCTGCCACTACTTCTGAACCAGAATCAAGACCTGTGAACTAGAAGTTTCCTGCCCCGTGTTCCTGCTGGGCGGGCTCCAGGGTGGAAGCACATTTGTCTCCAGCCATGCCCGAGACTGAATCGGAGCAAGCTGGGCCACCATTTCCTGTTTTTGCAAACTCTTTTTAACATCTGTGACATCTGGATAAATATGGTTTATAGGTGAAAGTTGCCAACGGCGATTTTGATTTCACGTTTCCCCCTTAAAATGAAAGTTTGGAGTCAATAGCTTCAATATACACAGGGTGAGAGAACAGTTCAGGCTCAGACGCTCTTTTGCAAAACAAGGGTCCAACTTTGGCAAAATGTCATTTAAGACATCAATGGCAAACAGCAAGGGTGGAGCCGCAGCCTCAGGTGTGAACTGCAGGGCCTGGAGAGATGTCACGGGCCGCGTCTCCCTCCTGAGGTCCCTCCAGGGCTGAAACTTCATCCCTGTGCCTGGGACATCTGTGAGACACCAAGACCAGGAGAGGGGCTCTGCCTCTGCACAGCTGGGTCTCCAGTCCTGACCAGCTCCCGAGGGCCCATGCTGGGGGCAGGGCTGGAAGTGGCTCCAGCCTTGGGACCACCCCCACCAGAAGAGCATTCCTGATGCTCTGCACCTTCTCCCTGGGGGTCCCGGACTGGCCCTAGCTAGGAGACTTTCCTACAAAGGGACTTCCACAGACCTGTGAATGTCCTGAGAGTACGAGGCCTGCCCAGAGGACGAGAGCACCACACTTTGTCAAAGCACAGCAGAGGGGTGGCAAGATGGCAGGAAGGCAGGCCAAGCCTCAAGAATACAGGTCCCAGTGCAGCTCTGCTTTGAATGGGGCACAGCAAAGAACCCCAGCAAGGCATGGCCTCCGGTCCCTGCTGCCTTAGCACCGCAGCCTGCCTGTGCAGGGCCCCCATGCCCAGCCCACCCAGGGGGGCCTGCCCAGGCACCCGCAGGGAAGCTGCACTGCTAAGGAGCTGACCCTTTGCTCCCCGCACCACCCAGAGCTGCGTGCAGGCTTTGCAGCCTCTCTCTAGTCTGCTCTGATATTACAGCCACCCCCTCTGTGGCTTCCACTGCACGGAGACCCCTCCTGTCCCTTCACCTCAGCCTGTCTTCAAAGGCTCACTGTGTCTCCCCGAGGCAGCATATATAGCTATTCCACACCCCCACAGGGAATTGAACCCAGGGTTGTTTTACCACTGAGCCACATCCCCAGCCCTTTTGGAGATAAACTCTAAGTTACCCAGGCTGGCCTCTAACTTGCAATCCTCCTGCCTCAGACTCCTGAGTCTACAGGTGTCAGTCACCATCTCTCCAGGTCTTTCAATTGGAGAACTGAACCCATCTGATCTCAGTGTGTTCACAGGTAAGGACTCAGTTCTACCATTTCTCAGTTTTCTCACTATTTGCATGGTTCCTTTCTTCCTGTCTTGCTACCCTCCTTGTGGTCAGCTGACTCTCCAGCTGTCCGCTTTGATCCTGGGTCTCTGTCTTTGCTGTCTATACTGTTGGGTTTTGCTTTGGGTTGCCCAGGAAGCCACATGAGCTCCTTCGAGTTAGAGGGAACCAGGCCTTGCTGGGTTTGAAAATAAAACTCTCTTCCCAGCCTCTCCACCCTGGTCAAGGAGCAGCCTGCAGGCAAAACCTAAATCCAACAGGGCAGTGAGGTCCTTTGCGACGATGCCATAAACACCTGAAGCAGTCCCTCAGGAATGGTCAGAAAAAGGACCCTGGACTCTGCTCTCCTCCAGTGCACAGGGCTTCCAGGACTTTCTCACAGTGGACTTGGAGCATGTCCCAGCAAAGACAGCCAGCCAGCTTGGGTGCTGCTGTGTCCAGCTCACGGACCCCAGCAGGTCCACAGAAACCCTGGTGCTGTCACGCTGCCAGACCAAACAGGACACGAGGCTCACAAGGTGCCGGGCAGGACGCAGCCAAGAAACCACTTGGCTGCCAACACCAGGCATCTCCTGGGAGAGGGAGGGCCCCCGCAGGTCAGGGCAGAGCAAAGAGGGTCTCCCAAAGATCAGGCAAGCCCCTCACCTGGCTACCCACCACACCAGCTGTGTCCAGGTCTGGGAGGGCCAGGTGCCCCACCTGTTTCTCTCCCCAGAACAGAAGGGTGATGTGGTCAGTTTCCGGCAGGCCACCGTACCCAGGTCAAACGCGGTCCACAAATCACTGTGGAGAGCTTTTTTTCTTGTTCTTGTTCCTTCCAGACATTTAAATCAGTGGACTCTGAGTAAAACAGGTGGCCTCCCTGAGTGTGGGCCTCCTCCAGTCAACTGAAGGCCTCGGACAAGAAGGAGAGACCTCTGCGTCCTCTGCTCTTCCCGGATTGTTAGCTTTCTGATGCTGTGACTCAGCACCCAAGGTGGGGTAAGTTATAAAGGAAAGGGGTCCCCCTGGCTCAGTTCAGGAGGCTGGGAGTCCAAGGACACGGTACTGACACCTTCTGTGCATCTGAGGGGTGTCGAGCTGCTCCAACCCATGGTGGGACGTGAAGGGTGAGTGCAGAGACAAGGGCAGTCTTCCAGCAACAGGACTGCGAGGTGAGGCAGTCATCCTGAGTGGCTTCAGGCCACACCACCCAGCACTGCTTCACTGGGGACTGAGGTAGAACCTGAGTCTAGGTGGAAACACGTCACATTCAAACCACAGCACCTGGGTCTCCTGCCTGCTGGCCTACACCTCCACAGTTCCACGAGTCAGTTCCTTTAACCGGCTACCCAGTGAATCCACACACACACACACACACACACACACACACTACTGGCTGTTTCTTAGGGAACCCCGACTAGTTCGAGGGTAGGCAGGAGTGACCCAAGCCTGCCCCACATGGCATCCCAGGGCCTCCTACGTGCTAGGCCAACACTGCCACTGACTTTGCTGGCCGCTCTGGGGCAGATATCTCACCTCTCCCACGCACAGGCCTTCACGTGGAGAGGAACCAGCCAGACTTGAGGGCCTAGAAGTGGAGCCCGAGTCTGACCTGTTTCACAGGAGGGACGTGACCTTAGCAGTGGAGGCAGGCCATGGCAGATTACACTTTGTAGACAGCTCTGAGGACGTACCCACTAGTTGTGCTCTCTCTACTGGGTGCAAGGACCCGACTCCTCTATGCACAGTAGAAGAGACCCACTGTGACTTCTTGCTGGAAAAAAAATGACCCCACTTCCACTGACAGCTCTCTCAGGACACAGTCCTTGGTGACCATGAGTCATCACAGAAGGTGGCCTTCTCTAACATGCCATTCCCTGCAGCAGGGTCTTTGCCACGCCATCTCATCCCGAGACCTCAACTCATGGCCCTCTGTCAAACACGCTCATGGAACGTACCCCTTCCTTCGGAGCACTGATGTGTCTATTATACGTGAACTGACAGGACTGCACCTTCTGTCCTCTGCTGTATCAAGAGTAAGCTGCAAGGGGTTGGGCCGAGGCTGTGCCGGGCCCTCAGCAGGCACCACAGTCATGAAGGCAGGAGACACGATGGCACAGGACTGCAGGGATGCGGGCTTCCCTTCACGAGGCCCTGTTCAACTGTCTTGTCTAGCTGAGAAGGGTTGGTGGGTAGGCTCCTGGAAGTTGTGGATTTTTTTTAAAGTTATTCATTGTTAAATATTTTTACAAATATATTCTGAGTTCCAACACTATAATCCAACATAACCACAATAATTTCAAGAGAAAAGACAAAATGGAGGCCACTTTTGAGAGAAGAACCCCTGAACTCCAGGGGAGGGCCAGCGTGGCCCTGCTGGTTTGGGTTGGGTAACTAGCTGCTCAGAGGGCAGCTCTGAAGCCCACTCTGCAGTAGACCTCCTTGACCAGGGCTCTAGGAGCAAGGCGGCTCAGAGGCAAACAGCTGCCTAAGCAATTCCAGAGCTGCAGCAAGCTATTAAGGAGCGATTGATGCTCTTGGTACTTAGGAACAACTGAAATAGGATCCCAGATGGAGGCACTTACAACTTGTGTGCCTCTTGGATCCAGTTCAGGGAAAGACCCAGAAAGCATGCGTACAGAGACAGAAAGCTTCTACCTGCCATTGCTGCTGTGTGACGTCTGCTGGAACATGAGGAGATCCCGTCAAACTCGCACTGTCTGGGGAAATGTGCAGAGTCCATGTGACAATCCCCAAAACACACTTCCAGAGCCCTCCAGCCTTCCATGGAAAAGTGCCCCAGGAGCCACGTCGGGGCCTGGACACAAGAACACCAAAGGACGCACACACACCCTGCTGCCTGGGAAGGCGTAGGTCCAGCAATCCACTATCCGTAACATTTAGGAGCTTTCTCTCCTCCCGCTGAGCCCACGGTTGCCTTAAACGCTGAAAGCAAAACACTTTGACTATTTTCTTTCTGTGCTTTCTGATGATATGATCACACATGTCCATGCAACGGCATGGAAACCTGCAAAATCATACCCAGAAGGGAGCCCTGGAATGCCAAGTTCCTAACACAGCGCCCTGGGCGTCCGCAGCTAAGCAGGGGGGCTTCCTCCTGTGACAGCAGGGCGTGGGGAGGATTATTCTAATAATAGGAACCATGAGCTCAGGAGAAAAGGCTGAAGGGCTCCATTGACATCCGCTGGGTCCCTCATTAGAGAAGAGTAACTGCTATTTAGTTGGAAACACGGAGGGGGTGCTGAGAACCGCAGGGAATAGGGCGAACTCTTACTCGGGGCTGAGAGGAAGCGCAGGAACTTGAAACCCTCATCATAACGTGCCTAAGTGGGTTGAGTAGCAATAAAGGTCAGTGCGCCGTTTCTCACTCCTTTGAATAGATGTGAGGGGGGCGAAGAGAACTTGGTTGGTAGGAATCTAAGCCGTGGTGGAATTTTTAAAAAGCCCTCCTTAATGTCACCGGCGCAGTCGCCCGGCAGGAGGGGTCTCCCGTCCGCAGAGCGGGCGGAGGGCTGCAAGGGAAACCCGCAAACTGCAGTCGGCGTCTTCCAGGGGCCTGGCCAGGAGCGGGCTGCAGGCCGGGCTCCTTCCCCCCACCCTCCCCACCGTGCTGCCAGGCACGTACCCACAGGGCTCCCCGTGCCCCGGGCGTCGGCTCCGGGAAGACCGCGGCGAGTGGGCGCCCACGCCCCGCAGGCCGCGCGGCCGGGGCAGAGGAGGCCGAGGCGGCGGGCGTGGGCTGCGCCCCGGCCTGGACCGGGCAGCGGGTCGCCAGGCCGTCCGCGGCCGGGGCCGGTGAGCGCGGGAGGGGGCGCCGACCCCCCACCCGCCCCGCCGGCGGCTCGCGCAGCTCCCGGGAGACGGGCGCCGGCGGCCCGGGCCCTCTCCGCCGGGAGGCCAGCGCGGGCGGCGCATTGTCTCGGGCGGGCGCCGCAGACCCCCACGCCCGCCGCCGCCCGCAGGGACACCGGCCCCCGCCCCGCCGCCGACTCCCGCCCACCCGCTCTGCGCCCCAGCCCCTCCCGGGCTTTGCGCCGTCCTCGCCCGCGGGCGGCCGCAGCCCCGCCGGCCCTACCTCGCCGCTCCGCGCTCTCCCTCCACCCCGACGCCCACCCGAGCCGGGGGTCTGCACGCGCATGCGCACAGGCCTCTTCCCGCGCACCTGTGCGAGCGCGGCGGAGGCGGGGGTGGAGGGCCCTCGGGCACCTGTGCGAGCGCCGCGGTCCGCGAGTCCTTCCTGCCGCCTGAAGCGCGGCTCCCGGGCTCTACCAGGCCGGCCTCCCCGGCTGGGCAGCGGGCCGCGCACCCCGTGTGCGCCGGGCGCTCGGAGAACCGCGCCGGGGAGCTGGGGCGGGGGCGGCAAGCGCGCGTGCGCCTCGGGCCGGGGTCCGCGGAGGCGCCCGGGCTGCGAGCCGCCTCCCGAGGGCCGCGCGCCGCGCCGGGGCCTCGCGGTTAACCCTTCCCGGGCTCGGCACCTGACAGCCCCGGCTCCCGCGGGGGCCGCCCGGGGCCGTCCCCCCCCCGACCCCCGCGGGTCCCCAGCAGGTCTGCCCGCCACCCGGTCACCGCCACCGCGAGGCAGGGGTCGAGTATGCCTTTCCAACACGGGCAGCGTGCGTCGCTGACGCGGTTGGAGGACGGCAGCCCACTGCCGACGACCCCGTGGGTTCCGGACTTTTGAGAAAGTTGGGAACATCGAGCAGGACGACTTTTTCTCGTGTCCCAAACCCGCCTTGGCCACCCAGGTCCCGGAGTCCCTGCTGCGCGCTGACACTGCCCAGGCCTCCAGACCTAGCCGGGCCTAGAGTTCCACCACGGCAGTCGGCGGTCGGGAGGAATGCTGGTTTTGATGGTTTGTGCAATGATTGCACTCCTGTGAGCAGAGAGCGCGGGAGCCTTGATTTTCGCTGCTTCCTTTCTTTGGCTTTTGGCAGTCTCTGCCAGATGAATATGGATGACCTACCCTGCAGCTTCCAGCACCCAAGCGCACTTGGAGAATATCCTTAACCTTCCATTCCGTTGCCACACAAAACCCCACCTTGCCTCAAGAGCTGGATTAAACGAGGCAGAAACTGGCAAAATGTTGGGGTTAAAATATTTTGTCAGTTAACTCCTGTTTGGGACATGTTGCCCAAATAAAATAAAAAATGTTTCCATTCTATATATATATATTTTTTTTTTTCAGTTAACTATAGCAGCAACAGTCCTTTGGGCTGGAAGAATTCCCAAAATCATGCTCCATTATTAGTTTTTTCAATTTACTCCAAAACACTTGAGTCTCCTGGTGTCTTTAGGTGCTTCTCTGCTTACCTTCTGGTGGAGAATACATTTAACTTCACACCCACTCTTCAAGAGAAGCTTGAGAAGGCTGACCTGACCTGGGGATGAGACCTGGGGATGAGCCCCGTGCCCACCCGCTGGCCCACCGTGGTGCTGACTTGTGCGTCTTCTGCAGGCATGCAGAGCAGGGACCATGTGGGGCCTCCCTCAGGCCCACTGGGTTTACAATGCTTGGCCTACACGGGGCTCTCCATGGATTCTTATTGAATGAAAAATAAAACATCAATCCCTGTACCCCCACACCCGTTTTCATACATTAAATGTTTTATTTAGAAAATGGGCTATAGCCCCAATGAAGTCAGGGAAGATTGCAGAGGAATGTTCGCTGCATTACCGGGAGTTTTGTATCAACAGGGGTCTCTCTAGGGTCCTAAAACGGAACCTGGGGTATGATGACAGGAAGAAGGGGTGCATCTTAAATGATGAAGCTCTTTCAAGGGTCACGATATGTCATTACAGCCTTTATGGCTCAGGAGGGACCGAGAGTGGGCAGACTTAAGGAAGTATGCACCCTGATGCAGGGTCCCCAAACTCTCCAGGTGCAGCGGTTCATGGCCTCTGGATGCTGGCCCCAATCACATGTGAAAGCTGCTCTGGCATATGACAAGTGACAGCAGACACACTCGCCCTCACAGGCCTCCTCATCTGGGCAAGGTTCTTGACCTCCCTCTGCTTGGGTTTCCTCCTCTGTAAAGGAGGAGTGAATGACCCTACCTGAGGATTAACACTGGGTGGGTGTGCTTCCCAGGGAGCAAACTCACACTTAACCTTTCTTTTCTTTTTGTTGTCCTGGGGATTGAATCCAGGACCACTCTGCCACTGGTCCACACCCCAGCCCTTTTTACTTTAGACAGGATCTCACTGGGTTGCCCATGCTCACCCTGAACTTGCAATCCTTCTGCCTCAGCCACCCAAGTCACTGGGATTACAGGTGTGGCCACTGTGCCTGGCTCACACTTGTCACTTCTGATTCCACCATGACTCCGGGGTGATTCTCAGCAAATGGATTGAACCTCTTGGTTCTCATGTCCCCTGTGTAGATGTCCTCACATACACAGCACTGGTGATGCACAAGAGGCAGCTGGTCTGTGGGTCCCCTTGCTTATTCTGGGCTTCCTCACCCCCCTTAGGAGGCTTGGATCCTGCTGGGACACAGTGTTGTTTTCCTACACGTACAGGGACCTCACCACAGACAACTTCCCCAGGGCTTTTAGCAGCTGTAAGACTCCATGCACTTCTCTTTCCCCACCCGCAAAGCAATTAAGTTCCAATAACTGTCAGGAATAGAGCCAATTGCTATAAGTGCTTCCAGCTCTTGGCACTAAAGAATAATTTGAAAATGTGTGTTGGTTTGAAACAGTGTTCATTGGTTTGTTTAAAATTGCATCCATATTGTGTAAAAGTCAAGCCATCTCCGTGGACTCCCCTATGTCAACCTCACCATGACCAGACCACTCCCTGCAGCTCTGACCAATTCTGCACCTACATCCTTGAGAAGCTGCTGAATGTTGTGACCTCTCTCTTCCTTGGGCCCTGGTTCCTCCGGCATGCCACAGCAAGCGCCTGAAGGCCTTGTTTGCAGGGAGCAATATGCTAAGCACCCAAGACACTGAAGACCGCTGTGGCCGACACTCAAATGCTGGCACACTGGTTTCTCATTCCAGGGATTCAGCTCCAGACAGCTCTGTTCTGAGATGAAGCTTCTGAGGTAATCGGAGAGTCTGTGTTTAGCTTTGCACCCCAGGGCCCAGCACTGTGCAGTCATGCTTGGTCGATGCTGGATAAAGGAAGAGGGATGCCATTATATGAATGTCTGACACTCTCTGTCCTTGCTCTTCTACTGTGATGGGTCACTGGCTTTGCTTCAGCACCGTGCAGGCTCCGCAGAGGCAATGAATCCTTGTTGAGCGAGTTTCACAATCACTAACTTAACCATTAAGGTGCTCGTGTTGATCTTGTTAAACCTTTTTTTTGGAAAACAAATTTAAAAGGAAATAAAATGTTAGTAGTTATTATCAAGTATTTTTTGGTGACATTAGAGCAAGTTATCTGAGCTGAACATGATTTCAAGTAAATCTACAAGGCATATCTCTATATAGTATCTCTGCAGTTCTGCAAGATAACAAGAAGTGGGCATCATTTTGGTTTTGGAGTGGAGTTTGGAGAGTTTAATGTAAATCATCAAGGTCACATGCTTTACATGGGTAAGGCAGTGATTCTTATCCTGCAGAGCCCAAAGCCCTTGTTGACATTTATGATGTAAAGCTGCCTTTCCAAATGAACGAGTCGACTCACGACACGCACATGTCCTGACATCATGTACGGGAATCAGTGTGCTAACAATCAATTGGCATCTCTGGTACATCTCCCAGCTTAATTTCACCGATTGATTTCTTCCCAAACATGAAAAATATTTTGTTCTATGAGTTAATAATTAACTGTGGAGCTTAAATGTGGCAGTGAGCCATGTCTCTTCAGGCTGTTTGAGTTGCTGAAGATGGCAGGACCCCCTGAGTATGCGGTCCGAGGCTGGGGTGAGCTCCAGATGGACAGCCCAGAGTCCAGAAAAGGCACTCACCGACCACCATGCCAGCCCCTTGGCAGCCAAGATGCACAAATCTGTTCACGTAAATCTGTTCTAAATTTCAGAGCAGTAAAGGCTTTGATGCCATACAAAGTGTAGCAGGACAAAGATCCAGATAAAACTAAGCGACTGATCTCACTGGTGATGATAAAATGATGGCAAAACATCTAATTTTTCAAGTCATCTTTAATTAGTGTGTGGACTGAAGTAGTGAACCCTGAAAGGTACAAACAAACCCTTTGTCTGATAACATATTCCTGTGAACAACCCCAACTCAAAGATAGCGATGGGTTGAACTGTGTCCTATAAAACAGACGAGCCGAAGCCCTGAACCCTGTATCTCAAAACACAAGTGTATTTGGAAAAAGGGATTTTTACGGAGGCTGTCAGGTTAAAGTGAGACCCTTAGGTAGGCCCTAGCCCAGCCTGACTGGCGTCCACACAGGAAGAGGAGACGCAGGCCCAGGCATAGTCCAGAGGACCCCAGGTGCACGGGGAGAAGGCAGCATGGAGGGAGGCAGAGCCAGGCTGGTGGGGTGCAGGCTGCTGGCGACACTGGCAGCTGGGCAAGGGAGGAAGGCTCCTCCCTGGGACCCC